TATCATGGTTTAGTTTCTGTTAGAAATGACAGCAGAGATTTATTTCTTCTCTCCCAATACCTAAAAGAGGGCTGGAGAATACACAGTGAAGCTAAAACTTCCAAGGTTCTAATCATGGCTTCATTTCTTCTAGTGTCCAGCCCCACCCAGGAGCCCACCAGAGTGGCCTCGTACAAATGACAGTGCCATCACCCATGAAATTCCTAGGGATTTAGAAGCCCTGTGTCAGACATCAGCATCAAAGACCATACTGGAGAAGCAAAGATGCACTTAGTACTCTTGTCATTTAGGGAATTACAAGAGTTTTAGTGCCTCGAACTGGAGGTAGAGACCAATAAATATATTTTCTATTTTATACCTTTAAAATCAAATATTGGCCTTATATAATTAGATAATATTTGAAGACTAAAGGGTAAACTTTTTAACTTACTTCTTTAACGTGTTCAAAGGTGACATTTTTCATCTGGACCGGATCTACTGCAGAGTCAAGCCCCGTTGTTGTCCGGAAGCAGACTAAAGAGAAAAAAAATAATTGTTTATATATCTGAGGGTTTCATAAATACCTTCATAAAATACCTTATTATTCAGACGTAAGAAAGTACAGAAAATTATATCTAAGTTTACATACATTAATTCATAGTGAAGTAAAGAAACTACATCTTCCAGATTTCTAGACCATGTTCAAGGAATAAATGACTCACATTAAAATGACATCTTAATTTTTTTTTTAAAGATTTAATTTATTTATTTGACAGAGAGAGACATGGCGAAAGAAAGAACACAAGCAGGGGGAATGGGAGAGGAGGAACAGGCTTCCCGCCGAGCAGGGCATCTGATACTGGCTCGATCCCAGGACTCTGGGATCATGACCATAGCTAAAGGCAGACACTTAACGACTGAGCCACCCAGGTGGCCCTAAAATGACATCTTTACACCTTCCAATTAAAATGAAAAATTATTTCCCTCTTCTCCTATAATATCTAACAAGAGAAATTTAAACCATTCTCAAACTCACCTCTGCATAAAAATCACTTGAGAAATGTATAAATGCAAGTTCCCAGGCCATGGCCCAGAACTTCTGGTTTGTAGATTTAGAAAAAGGCCGAGGACAGTTTGCATTTTTAACCATCACCCTAAATTATCCTGATACAACTGGTCAGGGATGCATACCATGAGATACACTGCCTTAAACCTAGCATAAAAACAGCACTAGCATTTTATTTAAAAAGGGTAAACCTTAAAAGAGATTATTTCACTTTTCATGCAGCCTCCTCCTCTAGCAACTACTATTACTTGCCCTCAGATGATATGTATCAGTAATGACATCATTAATAACCGTGAAAGCTTGGAAAGACAGTAAAATACTTCAGATCAACTACAGGGAACTATTACAAAACTTTCTTAAAACCTCTCCCCTTTGGTTAAACTTCCCTACTGAACAGATGTTAGTGAGTAAATAGAGCAATTACTAATTTCCTCAGAAAAAGACAAAAATATTGTCTTTAAGACAGAAATTTAGATGCCAAAAAAAAAAAAAATCAGTAAGCAAAACCAGAGTTTTGTTGAAAACACTTAACATACCAAGAACACACAAGTTGGCAGAGCAAATGTAATAGAGTAACTCTACACTGGACACTAACAGTTTTAGCCCACTACATTGTTTATTTAAGGATCTACACAGAGGGACTTTATAAATTATGCAAATTAAATTTATAGCCAAACCACTTGAACCTTATAAGAAATTATAAGGCAATGCACTTCACATTTTGATACATATTTTGGTTTAATATAAGAAATTAAGAAACATAAAAATAATAGCCAGAACTAACCCCACCCCTCCAATATCGATCATATGGTGTTGCTACACTGGTTGTGTTTTGAAAATAAGGAGACAACAGAAGGTGACTCTAGCTATAAAAAGAATATTCTGGGGGCACCTGGATGGCTCAGTCGGTTAAGCTTCTGCCTTCCGCTCAGGTCATGACCTCAGGGTCCTGAAACTGAGCTCCACATCCGGCTCCCTGCTCAACGGGGAGCCTGCTTCTCCCTGTGCCTCCTGCTTCCCATGTTTGCACTCACTGCCTGTCAAATAAAATCTTAAGAAAAAAAAAAAAAAAAAAAAAAAAAAAAAGAATATTCCTGGATGTTAAAATCTCATCTAAGGTTTGATGCCACAATACACTTAAAATATCTGGGGTAACATGCAAGTTCGGGGATGAAGTCCTGATCCAGACCAACTGTTACTCTTTAATTGTTATCAGTTTTTTCTCTCAAGGTAACCAATCATCAAGAACATAGAAAACACGAGGTAAAAACTGAATAGCTGAGAAAGCAAAAGGAACGACTTAGGATGGGCATTATTACTTCATTTTAGACTGGTAAACTGAGAACTACGAGAATCGCATGAGGCAATTCTTAATTGTATACTAAATTTATATGTGTGTGTGTGTGTGTGTGTGTGTGTGTGTGTGTGTGTGTGTTTTAGATTTTATTTATTTGAGAGGGGGAGAGAGAAAGCACACAAGTGGGGGAAGGTGCAGATGCTTCGATCCCAGGACCCTGAGATCATGACCTGAACTGAAGGCAGATGCTTAACCAAATGAGCCACCCGGGAACCCCAAATTGTTATATATTTATGTATTATATATAAATTTTTCATAACTTTATTAGTGTGTCTTTGAAATGGGGGACTAGTTCACTTTGTATTGCTATTATAAAATCATTCTACATGTTTTTTCAATTTTATAATTGGACAGGTGTAATTTTCTAGAAGTCTGGAAAACCAACCATTAACAGAAGCTAAGCTAACATTTTTGTTCTAACATAATCCTTGGAACATTAACAAAATATTGCTTTCTCAAATACAACTTGAAATTCATACAGTGTCTGAAGGAACTTTTCTTGTAACCCACAAAGCAATGTAAATATAATGAGGCCTGATAATGCAGTTGGCATGTAACCATAACAGATTAAAACTTTTATACCGCAATGCAAAAAACCACCACAAATTGACCCAATCTGTGAAGTGTTGACTTAGGAAAGAAAGGCCTAGACACCAGAACAGTAAATGATGGGGTGCCTAGGTGGCTCAGTGGATTAAGCCTTTGCCTTCAGCTCAAGTCATGGTCTCAGGGTCCTGGGATCGAGCCCCACATCACACTCTCCGCTAAGCAGGGAGCCTGCTTTCCCCTCTCTCTCTGCCTGCCTCTCTGCCTACTTGTGATCTTTCTCTCTCTGTCAAATAAATAAATAAAATCCTTAAAAAAAAAAAAAAAGAAAACAGGAAATGCTTCTTCTCTCCTGTCTAAGGCAGACTATGAAAAAAAAGTCGAGTACTTAAAAGATTAAAAAAAAAAGATAAACAAAAAGAGCCTTTACCAGATAAAAATGGATTTTTTAAGAGTCCATAAATGCCAAACAGCAGCAGAACGAAGAAAATCAGACGAGTTCGTCTCAGAGAATCTGGAGGAGGAAAAGAAAAAAAAACCTAAATCAAATAACAACAATGACAAATGACACCTTGACAAAAAGCAAGAATTAGGTTATTGACGGTAATCATATTCCATCAAATGCCATTTTGGAACCTGACATTCTTTTATATAGTTGCCATGCTTTCCTTTCAGCATCCTATTATCAAAAACCTCATGAAGGTGCTCATGCTACTGTCCTTGACTCTGGTTCTCATTTGAGAAAAGGGAGATTGTCAACAGGTATTTCCATTTTGACACAGCGTAAGTTACAAATATAATGGAATATAACCAATGGAAAGGTGCTTATGTGTTAGAAAAAATATGTGTAACCACTTAAAGGTAGGACTATGACTTCCTTTTAGATATTCTTCCCAAATATGGATGGTGTCTAATCAACTTACCATTGGTTTTTTGCGCTAGGGCTTGAGCTTTCAGAAAGCCCTCTGCAAAACCAGTTTTAAATGCATCTTGGTGAGCTTCAGGTATATTTTTGGTTTTCATGAGTTTGTCCAAACTCTCAACATCTGATCCCCTGTCCCACAACAGGAACCCCTAAATACACAAACAAGGCATTACTATAGAGATAACACTGCCCAATAATATAATGATCACTTACAAAAAAAATCCTTTCAAAAATTCTAGAATTTCTAGTTTTTGTTGACCATCAGAAGAATTACACTAAGACTCAAAAATAAATTACTTAATCAACGGCAAGGAAACTAACCCTGGAACTTACACTTCCATCAGTCGATTAAGAAAGAAACTCTCTGTAAGAACACTATACTGAAGACAGTAGGTCGCCTGTGGACTCAGGGTTCCAATGGTTTGCTGTTCACACTCCTTTATCTCTACTAGAGGAAAAATCTCATTAATTTATTAAATGTTTATTGAGAACCTTTTACAAAATTGGACTCGTATAGGTTGTGAAAACGTAAAGATAAACAACCAATGATCAGAAAGAATGTCCTCAGTCTACTGGGGAGAGATAAACAAGTAACTAATTTTTTGAAATCATTTTGATGTTATGTTAGAAGTTCTAGGTCTGGGAGCACCGGGGTGGCTCCGTCAGTTAAGCATTCGACTTTTGTTGTAGGTCAGGGCATCATCTCAGAGTCATGGATCAAGCCCAACGTCAGGCTCGAGCTCAGCAAGGAGTCTGCCGAAGATTCTCTCCCTCTCTTTCCCTCCCCCACCTTGCTCCTCCTCTGGTCGCATGCATTCCCTCTCTCAAGTAAAGAAGATCTTAAAAAGAAAAAAAAAGAGGTTCTAGGTCTGGTGGTAAAATAAATGCTACCTCAGAAGTCAAGAGAGGCATCACAGAGAATAGGATTTCTAAACCACAGGGAACACAAAGCATAAACAATCTGACAGAGCCATGAAATAACAGGCCTTAGCAGTCGGGAACGGCAAGCCATCTTGTATGACAGGACTTTAAATGCCAAGAAACAAGCGCAGCAGAGGTTCAGAGGGGGTCCATATTTAAAGATGAGAACAGAAAAATGGTTGGCAGAGGCCAAATGGATGCTACAGCAGGAAACTGACAAGAAAGCAGGGGAATACAATTATTACATTAAAACATTTTAGACAGATGGTGGGTTGGTGGCAGTCTGGAGGCTGGA